AGTCTGCAGTTAAATACAATTAATGGAAGTTTGAAAATTGTCAGAATAATTAACTGTGGATCACTTCTATAACCTGGCTATATAACCTCCACAAAACTACTTATAATTCTTAAATGTAAGCATGCAAGTACATGCAAGTCAGAGGTCTAAGCCATGAAAATACCCATGTCATCTAAGTCTTGCCAGCAAATAGTATTTATTAACTAGTATATATTAATACAATCCAACATGCTTAATATGTATACTTTTCCCCTCAAGCATACCAAATTCTAGTGTGTGACAATATAAAATAGATTTTCTTCTCCCAGGTGATACTCCAATTTATATTTTTTAGTTTCCTACAAAAATAACTACTTAGCATAGCCAGGTCAGATCAAAGGTCCATCTACCTACACAGTCTCAGAGAGTGGCCATTAACTAGTAGAAATATCAGGGTGAGTAAAGAGTAACTTTTTTTTTTCTTCTCACATACCTCCAATCTACTCCAAAACATGTAAGTAGCAAAACCCCAACCTTTCTCAATTTTAAAATATTGTAACAGATGCCTAAAAAACCACCTGTGCATAATATGATAAATTATTAGCATTAACTATTTCTAGTGATACAAGGATCATCTTCCAGAGATAAAGGCACATCAGGCCCAACTACAAAGAGGCCAACATCTAATAACCAGAGGAACATGCAGAAAGATAACGGGAAGGCGGGAGTGTTTGTTTCACTCTGGCACAAATGCATATCAGATAACTAAGAAATGCCATGGGACAAGATAAGGAAGACTTCAAGGCACACTAGGAGTGCTAAGTCCTCCGGACTATCACAAGCTAGCCCTTCGGGTGGGGTGGCAGGGGGAGAATTGAGGAGAAGGGTGGAAGGGGGGGGTGTGTGTGTGTGGAAAACAAAAGAAACTTTCACAGAAAATGCCTTGCCAGACTGTCACCACGGAAAAAGCAACAAGACTACTGGACTGATTGAAAACAAAAGGAAAAATCACTCCCAAAACAAAATAAAAACCCCCAGAAAACAGAATACTAACCCCAGCTATGATAAAGAACTACACTGCCATCAAATTCTCATGTATAAAACTCTGAATTTCACAAGGACAGGTTTTCACGCTGCCTTAAACCTTTGTTAAAAATCTCTGTGCTGAAACTAAATTATCGCTCCTTTTCCTCTGGAAGGTTTCAGAAACTTCCTTTTTTTTTTGGTATTTTTGTATCTTTAGTGTCTGATTACATGTGCTTTTTACAGATTTTATGGATCGGTGTTGATTACATTGATATCTATAGGTAAAATAAAACACTGCACTACAAACATTTTCCTTTTTTCTACAGACTTGTCATACACTTTACCAAACTGTATAGTTCGTGGTATAAAGCTGTATCTGAATTTGTCATGATGCACTATTTCTTTTACTTAAAAATCTAGCAGATGAGGTAGTTTTGCAGAAACAATGCAAAAGTCCCCATCTCTATCTCAAAATACAACATTTGCAAACTTTCACATTCAAATCAGCTCTGAATTTCCTTCAACACTCTAAGGCAGACTGCCACAGAAAGAACTTGCTTTCCCCCCTGTGCCAGCACAATTTGTGAGCCCTCATGATAAATCAGGCAAAAAAAGTATTCAGACTAAAATTAACCCAAGTTTGGGGTTTGGTTTGGTTTTTTCGGGGTTTGGTTTTTTTTTTTTTTCCTCCTAAGTTTTAACCCAGATCTGTTCACCTATCTGTTTTGGCATGCTGCAAAACAAAATGCTTGTAGAGAAAGTACAGAACAGAGGTTGGGACAAGCAGCAGAGACACCCGCTTCTTTTGGTGGCAGTTCTGGCTTTGCCTACAAAAGCCATTTAAGTCAGTCTCCGAGAAACTCTACGCATTTTGGATTTATGGGGTTATTTTTAGTATATCTGACAATTAAGTAAACTACTCTTAATCTTACTCATAATGATGACATGGTTTATATACAATGACATCAAAATATTCTCCTGTGACCAAAGAAAGTTATATCTGAGATTTAATAGTTTACTGACAACAAAGTAAGTCTAGAGTTTGACAAGGCAGTAAAATACAGTCAATTTTGAAAAAAATTCAATAGTCATAGAGAAGCTTTGCAGCAAAGCCAATGCTGAATTTCTAAAAAAAAACTTTTTCAACCTTCAACTATCTTATGAGAAAAATATAATTTTGCTAGTAAAATTGTTCTCAACTTGTATTTAGATGCTGGCTTGATTTTGGAACTGAAGGACTACTTGGGTGCCTTAGAATTATTTGTTGTTTTCCACTTCTATTGCTTGGTTAAATAAAAGTTATCACATCTCCCCACAAGCCTTACTAAATTTACATTTGACTTACAGTCCTGAAACCAATCACTATAACTTGAACAGCTGCACTGTAAAGAGAAACATTAGAAAAAAAATAAATCATTTTGCAGGCAAAGTACAGTAAGCCTCAACTCTCTGCTGAACACTAGCTGCCTAGTTTGGTTAAACTTAATTGGATCTATTAAATGGACACTTGTCCCCAGCCATAGCACATCACAGTTAAAATCATTTCTTTAATAGCTGAAATTATACATCACATACTATGCCACGCCAACAAGGCACCAACGCATCAATGTAATCCAACACACCAGAAACCACCTCTGACTCCATCAGGCACCTGAACTGGTGTTTCATTCATCATACATATGCAATCCAGAGGCTGTTCCTTCAGAACATCGCTCAGAAGGTACATGTTGATTTTAAAATTCTCAATGCTTCCATTTTCAGGACAGTGCTAATGTTATCATACAGATATATCAAAACACTGTAAATTAATCTGGCCTACATTTTATTACCCACAACCCCAAGCAGAAGGAGGGAAAGGATAGAAAAACATTCTTTCTAAAAGTCCTTGGCACAAAAGCTGCTGCTCAGGCACTCTGGGACAGGTGCCCAGAACGTCTCAAGTTCCAATAATAAGAAAAGCCTTCATTACGAGAAGAGGTCTGGACACAAAAATACAGAAGTGATATCAGAAAAGTTGCTAATAAGGACACAAATTTGTAACCAATTAAGTTAACCATGACTTCAATAAGCTAAAAGGACAAAAACTTGCAGGAACTGACTCAAAGCCTGGTGGTCAAAACACCAAGTTACACACACATCTTCTCCAAGAGACACACAGAGCATCCTCAGATCATGCATGGCCAAGAAGGCAGCAAAAAGCTTGCAGTTTCAAGGACTGATTCATGCCTGAATTTGTACATTCTACTAAAGCTGGCTTTTAACATTAAGTCATATTTAAAGTTGTGGAAAGTTATCTTTCAATTGAACTAAACTTCTTCAATCATTTTCATCTCAAGCACTGCATCATCATCATATTCCATATGCCAAAGTGAATTTGTTTCTATAAACCTAGTTGATACAAGGATTTGGATTTCATAAATAAAGATTACATATATGTCTACAGAAAAACATAAAGAAAAAAATACTTGTTGGTTTAGTTCTACTTCCAATTTTCTTGATGCTTCAGTAAAGCCAATATCTGACAAAAAAAAATTCCTCAAACTCAGATTAAGCAGTACCAATAAAATAAGAAAAATCTTCCTCTATTGTTTCAGTGATGGTAGGTACACTAGCAAAGTATTTGTTCCCACTTAAACTTAGTCTACCATCTTGAGGTCACCTGAATTCTTTAACAGTAGTTTATAAAAAAAATGACCAAAAAAACCCCTGCTCTTAGCCTGAAAACTATGTCCAACACACACATGTGAACTCAGCAAAATATATATGCATGACCCTGAAATTCTGTTATTCCTATTTTCTAGAAATGGTAAGCTACCATTGCAAGTTCTCCAACTGGGACAAAACAAAATACCCATCTCAATGGGCACCTCAAAACTGCACTCCTCCCCATTCCACACACTTTGATTCAAAGTCTCTGTCCAAACAATCAAAACTCTAGGATCTTCTCCCGCAACTGGCAATATTCCACTGCAGTTTTGAAAATACTATGCCAGGCTTGTCCACTCAATTTTCAAAACTGTAATTGGACAACAAGGCTCATTTTCAAAGAAACAACTGACATGTGCCTTGCTGCTTTGAAAGCAAAGCACGAAGCCTACATTCTCTTCACGTTTATAGGTAAGACATTTTTTGATGTACAAACTGACTAGCCAAGACCATGACTTCTATTTTTCAGTCTTTGTGTAGTCACTGTTGTGATGGGAAACAGATCATCAAATGAGAGAATATTTCTGATCTCTAAAAAATGATTACTACATCTCCACCCTGGGCACAGGACCAAATCCCAGGTTACAACAACTTTCTGGTCCAAAGACCATGGCGTTAACCAACCAGCTGTGCCAATATTTGATCAATGCTCAACTTTATTCTCCATTTTCAGCACAGAGTTAAGAAATAGTACTACTATATCACTGTAACATTTCATGTTTCCAGTGGAAAAAGGTATTAAAAAATAAAAACAGAGATAAGCCTCACAGTTCCCCAGGATGCTGTCAAGCAAGCAGAGAAGGTGCTTTTCTAACAATCCCTTTTGCTTATGAAAATACAGCCAAGCACCAGTTATACTGAATATGAAAGAAACTATACGTATTATATCAAATTGCAAAATCTGAGGCAGGTTTTACATATGAAACAATTTCAAAATTCCATCTACAAACTCCACAAATTAATCTTTTTCAGGAATATATCCTGCATTACTTATGATTCCACTTCAGACCTCTCCCCAAAACTGTGCACGTACTTTACATACAAATAAGCAATTCAATGTATTAACTCTGGCTTTGAGAGAACTTGCAAGAGTTCATGAATTACAAAAATTACTCCTCTTTTACGGAAAAGCAAGGAAGTGGTATTCCCATAAAGGTCTGCAGGCAAGGAGGAGACATTTCAACTATGACAAGGAAACAGCTTTCTGGCAGTCCTCCTTTCCCATAATGAAATGTTTACCTTAAGAAGCAAAAGTTGCAGGGAAGGGGATGGCGGTCAGGATTGCTCACCTTTAACCGTTTAACCACCTCATCGTTGGTAATTTTGTCCGTAATCTCCTTCACTCCAGGAGGATAGTAGATGATTTTACCATCGGCAGCAGGTTTTGGTTGGGTAGCAGGGAAGTCCATCCTGGTGCTGCTGGTTATAAACTTTCCTTCTCCACAGTCCTCTACCGGCCTCTATCGGTCAGAAAACAAAAGTTCAGCAGAATGGAAACGACTTTCTAACCCTCTTTTTCCATTTCTCACCCTCAATTTCGCAGAAGGCCCCGGTTATCACCCCGCCGGCT